CTCCTTTAAAGGCAGTCTTTAAAGAGGTTAATCTTATTATGTATACAATTCTGCAATAACAGTAATCATCTGTGTGAGTGGATACATAGATAGACATGCAAGCTGAACTGGTGTAGGAAGACAAATAAGATGACATCTATGAATAAATAGAGGGTTCACAGAGGAACTTTCTACATATGTATTTACATACACTGCTAATATAGCCACGGATATAGCAGCGCATAAGGGGAGAAAACAAACGAAAGCTTATGGGCTATAAACAAACTCCTTGGGGGAAAGAGATGGCCTAGATGCTCAGGACCTTAGTCTCAGGGAACATCCCGATCAATTGGTACAACATAGTCCACAAGGAGCATCTTCCACATCCTACTGAGGTGAGTAGCAACGAGGGACTTAAAAGCTTGAAAACAGTCATTTAGGGTGCAACCACTGGTCTCTTCACCTGGAGGAGAAGAGTGAAGAAAATCAAAGACACATGGAAACCAGTCTAAGGGACTAACGGACCATGTGAACTTCAACTTCCACAACCCTGAGGTCAGAAGACTAAACAGGGTTGCTATTCTTTTTTTTTTTTTTTGACATTTACCACCAATCTTTATTATAATCTCCTGTTTCACCCCTTGCTCCTCTTGAATTGTTTTAAAGCAAATCTCATGTCACACCTGAGGTGACAAAAAAAAAAATAACCCTCCAAAGATATATACCACTTCTTAATTTCAGGAATATAGCTTGATATGACCAAAAAAGTAATGAAATTAATGATCATGATAAAACTTATCCCAGAGTAGCCAAGTAAACCCTAAATAAAGTCACGTATGTGCTTATAAGAGAAGCAGTGGGAAACTGGACACACAGAGAATGCAATGTAAAGATGGAGAAAGAAATGTAGTCACCAGCCAAGGGCTGCTAACAACAACCAGAAACTAGAAGAAGCAAGAATTCTCCCCTCGGGTATTAAGGAGTGTGGTCCTGTCAACACCTTAATTATGGATTCTGGCCTCAAGAGCTATAAGAAAATAAGCTCTTGTTGTTTAAGTCACCCAATTTGTCATGTATTACAGATAGCAGCCACAGGAAAGTAATATGGTTTGATGTGATCTATAAAAATGCCATTCTGCCCTCTGAAAGGGACCTTATTAGAAGGTGCCTGGATAGAGTGGAGGAAAATGCAGAACTAAACTCTAAACCAGAAAAGAGACCTGCTCACTCCTTGGATAGAAGCTGGTGGAACCCCCGAAGCTGGTCACTCCTCAGATCTGGCAATGAACTCACATGCACAGCTCAACTTTCAGCCAAACAACTGATAGGTGTATAATGAAAGTGAAAACAATAACACTGTGGAGTTAGCACACCCCAGAATAAGCAAGGGTTGCTATTCTTATAGATAGTAATTAACCTTCAGGCCTGGAGCAGGTATCAGTCATGTGACTCAATTTTCAGCCAAATGATAGCACTATGGGGTAAATAATAACATGAGGGAGATGCATACTCTTTAGAGTAATCAACTATTTGAGATTGAAAGGGCAGCATCTGCCCAAGGACAAAGTTCAGAAGCCAGGAAGGGATAGGAAGGAAGGCGTAAAAACAGGACATGAAGTGAGAGGAGTGAATTGTGGGAATTGCAAGCAATGGCATGAAACAAAAATGTATACGTTGTTGAATGGAAAGCTGATTTGCTCAATAAACCTTCACCCCAAGGGGACAAGGACTGATCTTACTTGTAACTCTGAGATTGTAACTCAATCTCAGTCTATAAATAAACTTGTATATAAATAAACTTGTATATAAATAAACATATGTATCTGCCACAGCTAGAAAATACAACTCTATAAACGATGCCTTTTAGAACAGCATAAAAATAAATTAACTGGGAATAAACTTAACAACCAGCATCTAGTCACTATGAAGAAAAGAATGAAAAATGTATTGATAAACATAAAACAAGACCTAAATAAAGACACATACCACTTATTTTGTTGTTCAGGAGGCACACCCTTGTAATTATTCCCAAGTCACCCCATTTAATTACTTTTGTGTGGCAACTGAGTGCCGAGAACGGAACTTGACCATCTCATTCTGAAATTCATATGAAAGGCAAAGAAGAGAGTAAAAATTGCCAAGATACTCATGAATAAAACTAGTGATAGGAGAGGTCTTGCCAGGTCAGGTCCTTATCAATAATTATTTTAAAGTTGTATGAATTAGGACAGAGAGGTGTTGGTATAGGGTAGAAAGAGACCACTGGAATCAAATGGAAAGTCTCAAACAGACCCTCTGTACAAATATGTTGACAGGTTGTTCTGCAAGCAGTGAATACGTGATCTTTTCAGTAACTGCTGCTGAGACAAATGGGACTCCATATGATTAAAAAAAATGACACAGATTGGACCTCTACCTTCTAATCGCACACACACAAACACACGCATAACTAAACACCAGGTTGATCGCTGACATAAATGTGAAAGATAAAAGTATAAAGTTATTGGAAAATATCATAGGGTAGGGAATTCTTTCTTGAAGTCGAGAGAAAAGTATTAAACAGTGGTAAGAATAGACAGATTTGATTTGACTGTGAACTTTATCTATATAACCATTAAGAGAAGACAAGCCACAGAATGGGAGAAAATGACTGCAACCCATGTATTTGATAGAGGGCTTGGGGTTGAACGCATACTTTCTAGAGAAATCTTACAAATCACATAGCAAAAGATACTCAGTCCAGGTTAAGATAAATGAAATATTTGAACGAGTACTCACAAAAGAGAATGTTTTAATGTTCAATAAACATGCCCCCAAAGGTACACATTCTTATTAGTAATCTGGAATATGCAAATTAAGACCAAAGTGAAATGCTACTCTCTTCTAGTCAGGTAAACATAGTAAAACATTACTGAAGGACAGGAGCCAAAACCAAAGTCAGCTACCTTCAAGTCCCTGAGACTCATATAGACCCTATCGGACAGGACAGAACTGCCCCTGTGACTTTCCGAGACTGTAACTGTTTATGGCAGTAGAAAGATTTATGGGAAAGAATTCTAAATTAATGGTGAAATGTATTTATAGATGGAAAGGCTTGAAAGCGTAAAGCTGCCAGTTTTCAATATAATTTATATATGCAGTGCAACCCATATTCAGAATTAAAATCCCAATCAAATTCTTTATGGAACTCACCAAACTGATTTCTCAGTTTGTGTGAAACAAACCAAAAACATAGGTGGTCCAGAATATTCCGAAGTACTAGATGAAAGTAGTGTAGTACTAGAGCAGAGGGCAATCAAGTCGATAAATAGAAAAGAGCAGACTCTGTAAGGTGGGCCTGGCAGAAACTGAAGCTAACTGAATGGAGCTGGAGGGAAATAGCAGGAAACAAGACTGAGTGGAAAGCAAGCAAGCTGCAGTCAAGCCCTTGGACAATCCAATAGGAGGGGAACTCAGAGCTTGTTGCTCTTCGGGGTCATCGGGCTGGGTTTTCTTTCATTGAGGTTTCAGTTCAGAGGTACTTCAGGATAGACTCGAACCATCCTTCTTTGAGTTAGCAGCCACATGAATGCATTACCCAGAATCCATACCAAAAACCAAATGCACTACCACTGATTCTTAGCAACTTTGTCTAGGGATCCTGAGACTTTACATTTTTACAGGGACAGACAGCCTCCTCTTTTTCCTGTGGAACTGATGGTGGGTGTGAACGTCTGACCTTGTGGTCAGCAGCCAACTGCCTAACCCACAGGGCCATCGGGGCTCCTTAAGGACTCCATATACCGCTGCTGCTGCTAGGTTCCATCTGTCTGTCTCCAACAGAATGAAACTGTCTAGTCCTGCGCCATCCTCCCACCGTTGTTGTTTCCATCGCCTTGTCAAGGCTTTAACAGGGTAAACCAAACACCACGCCATTGCCACGGCGTCAATTCTGACTCGTAGTAATCCTCTAGGTCGGATTGGAACTGTGCCCACTGGGTTTCCGAGGCTCACATTTTAACAGAAACAGATCGCCACGTCTCTCTCCGTGGAGTCCTGGGGTATTGAAACGTCAGCCTTCAACCACTGGACCTCCAGGGTCCCTTGTAGAGGACTACAGAGCCCTTTACAAGGAGGAGGTAGACTGCTGTGGACGATCACAGAGAGATCTTCACGACTGCTTGTTAGTTAAGGTGTAAGCCACATTACTTGGAGTATGGTCCTTTTAACATTAGCTATAGATTGCTTTTTAAAGATCAGAGTAACAGAGGTACTTATGCAAGTAATATGGTATTCTACAAAGAAGGAACATATAATCAATATCCTCTATTATCACCCAATCATGTATATCTTCATTCAGTAAATATTTTTTTGACCACTTATCTATATGGCAGGTTTTCTGTGCAGAACAAAGTATATATTAATAGGGGGGAAAATGTTAACATTTTATCTTTGGGTGAAGGTAATATGGATATTTTTCTCTTTTTATTTAAGACTTTGTATCTATTGTGATTTCTTTTTTCTTTTTCTTTTTAATCATTTTATTAGGGGCTCATACAACTCTTATCACAATCCATACATACATCAATTGTGTAAAGCACATTTGTATATTTATTGCCCTCATCATTCTCAAAACATTTGCTCTCCACCCAAGCAAGCCCCTGGCATCAGCTCCTCATTTTTTGGGTAGATATTTTTCAAATAATTTTCTACATTTTTTATAATCGGTGTTATAAGAAAAACCAAAATATTTAAAATTTTCCTACTTCTAAGGTTTATGTAGGAGCCCTGGTGACACAATGATTACGTACTTGGCTACCAACTAAAAATTTAGTGGTTTGCACCCACCCAGTAACTCCACAGGAACAGGACCGGGCAGTTTGTTCCTTTATAGCTTAGAAAATCCTACGAGGCAGTTCGACTCTGACAATCATAAGATCTGTCTTAAAATTCTACCTTCTGAAAGGATCCACTTACCCTGTAATTTCTGGAACTAAATATATTCTGCCGTTTACAAAAATATGTATTTCTCTTAATTATAGAAATGGAATCTGGACCAAAATGCTGTGTTCAAGAGATTACAGTCTCTCCAAATTGATTGTACAGCAATACCTCCAAGCAGATCAAACTCAGGTAACTTATACTTTGATCCAAAATATACCTATTAAATTGCTCAACCATTTACTCGACTTTCTAAAATACGATCTAAGACCATATAGGGAATAGAAAAAATGATAAAACTTGATATGTATCTTAGAGGATTTTTCCTTATATTGGGGAACGTAGATACATGTCAGGAGCCTAGGTGACACAGTGGTTACGTGTTGGGCTGCGGGCCACATGGTCAACAGTTCGAAACTACCAGCTGCTCATTGGGAGAAAGATGAGGCTTTCTATTCCCATAAAGAGCTACGGTCTTGGAAACTCACAGTGGCAGTTCTGCTCTTTTCCGGAGAGTTGTTACGAGTCAGAATTGACTTGATGGCAGTGAGTTTTGTGAGGGATCCACATATTGTGTAAGATTAGGCCACAGTGCTCACCAAAATCCCAGAGTGTCTGAGCCTATGATGCGAGTGTGTGGGGGGAAAAAGTGATAGTTCAGGGGGAAAAAAAGGACGTGGGTGGGAACAAAGACCTTGGTTCAGAGGTGAATGGATCCAGGGTTCAGTGCCAGATTCAGGCAGAGAAATCGTTTTCATGATAACAAAGGGGAAGCAGAGTATAGGCTATTGGGATCTGTGCAGATGACTCAACCTTTTCTCAACCTCATCCATCAATTAATGGTAAAAGAACACACTCTCCTAAGTTATTACTTGTTTGGTAGTAAAATACATGTTACAAAAAGTTTGCCATTTTAATCATTTTGTGTACAATTCAGTGACATTCATTATATTCATCATGCTGTGAAATCATCACTATTATCCATTTCCCAAAGGTTTTTTTACTACCCCCCAACAAGACACTCAGTACAACTTAAGCAATAACTTCCCATCTCCCCCGTCTCCCAACATCACACCCCTCGCCTTTCTAGTCCCTTGGAACCATGGATAAACGTTGGTCTCTATGTACTTGCCTATTGTAGGTAGTTCATGTAAATGGGGTACAATATTTCCTTTAGTATCTGGCTTATTTCATTCATCCTAGTATTTTTAAGGTTTATCCATGTTCTAGCGAGTATCAATGCTTCATTTTGCTTTATAGGTGAATAATACTTAATTGGATGCATATACCCCTGTTTGTTTGTCCATTCATTGGTTGATGGACCAATGCTGTTTCTGTCAATTGTCTATTGTGAATAATGCCGCAGTGAGCATC